TTATATCACATTTGGTCCTGGTGCAAAATTGCCTGCCACACACTCCATCAGGCAGCAAATTAAGATGTGCCGAAACCCTACGTGATAATATTGTCTTAGAAAATTAGAAGCTCAAGTGCCATATTGAAGGCAATGATGTGTAGCAAGAGGATCCAGTAAATTTTTCTTTTTCTTACTGATTTGGTTGTTTCACTACCAAGACATAATTACATTGGCTAAGACTAAATAATAGGAAGAGTGGCAAGGAAATGGCCCTGCAGCAAATGTCACCTTATCCCAAAAATTAACCCAAGGGATTCTGATTGGGGCATTCTGATGTGCTGAACTGGTTAACAGCCACCAATGGATTGTGTGTGAAGTCTGTGGGGGTGGGAATTCTTCCAGTGACCACACAGGACCAGATAACGTCCTAACTGCTGCTCTTCCATGATATGCCATGATTTCTGTGGAATGTTTCCTTATCCAAAAACAGTCAATGACATCTCCTCTGACTCTTGATAAGGTGCTCTCTTCAGTTCCAGACAAATGTAAGTTGCCAACATCATCGTTGTTGTTGTGAGTGATGTAGAAAGAGCTTTGAGCCTGGAGTTAAGTGACTGACCTGGTTCCTAATCACAGCTCTGCTCATTAACAGATCAAGTCACTTTCTTGGGGGTAACTAAGGAAGCCCAGTCACAGTGACAAAGTGAAAGGCCCAATATTTAGGGATACTTCTACAGGCTTTGTGAGCCTGCTAGAACGCCCATGAGTGAGTGGAATTATCACACATTTGAACATCTTTGTTCTGGTTTTACTCCGTGATCTTTTCATATATGCTCATAATTATTCTAAGATTCAAAAATCTGCCCCCAACACAGTTTGAAGACCACTGGTTAAATCATTGAGGTCAAGAAAGCAAAGGGAAAACTTAAAAGTGCAGAAACTAAACCTTGAATCACTAATTCAGAACCTTTAACTTGTAAGAGATATGAGGATATGACTGCTTTCAGAGATTCCTATCATCAGTGATGCCAGACACTAGAAAACTATCAAAAACCTGGTAACAATAAAGCAAACACTCGCTTTAATTCTGTTTACATGGTGGCAATAGTTGTTTATGTGAAAATACCTCCATTTATGACTAACCAAGGGCAGGGTAATTAACACAGTATTTAATATATTAGATTATTTTTGTTGTAATCTTTATTTGATTTTGCTCAGTCTTAGTAATGTCTTGCTCATGAGTATGTAAGACACATGTTCTTAGATATGGCATAACCTCTCTATATACACATATAGATGTGAGCACATATATGTAAAATGCACATATATGTTCTCTTTCAAACAGAGGTAGAAATACAGAGATACAAGTTTATCACAATCTTGTCTATATGCATGGTATGCTTATAATATGCATACATACATATAATAATACTTAAGTATTTGAACAAAATTTTACATATGTCTATATGCATGTGTGACTATATATTCATAGAGGTACAGAGAGAGAGAATAGGTGACTAGTTGCCAAGCCATTACCAATAAGGATCCCCCCTCTTTGATAAAATGACAAACATTTTATTGGGGAGAATAATATGTCCAACTGACAAACACTACCTGCAGCATTCCTGGCAAGTAGGAGTGGCTGTAACCACTGACCCACTCAATGTAAGCAGAGGCTGTGGGATGGAGTTCCCACACGCAAGGCAGCCTTCCTCGGTTCAGGCCTAGCTTGTCCCTTGCTTTTCCACTTCTGTCTCAGGAACACAGATGCTAGGCTTGAAGGGATCAACTGGCTTGTGATTCATGTTAAGGAAAGCTAAGGAAAAAGACCAAGGGAAAAAGGCAGAGAAAGGCTAGCTCTCTGTTCTCACCAAGATCGCTGAATCAGCTCTGGATTACCTGCCTCTGTACTTCTCCAAATATGAGAAAAATAAAACCCCTCATTCTTCCAGCCACTGTTTAGAAGCCTCTGTTCTTAGCAGTCAACTGTCACTCCTGATGCCAGAGGAACATTGATCCTTACCCTCAAGGCATTTATAGTCTTACTGACAAAACAAGGTAGGCATTTATGTTTGACCTGATTAAACAACACAGACGTGTGTAGGATTGAGTGCTTCTACAAACCGCGCAACCTGTAAGTGCTGCTGGAGTTAGAAAAGAGACCCAAGTGTGGAGCACGGATCCAGGGCAACATTTTCATCATATGATCAGCACTCGAGCTGGTGCCCAAGTGAAGGGAGAGGTTAAGAACAAGAGATTTAGGGAAAGAGTTCCAGGAGAGAAAAAGAGCAAAAATCAAATCACACAAAAAAATAGTGTAGTCTTCATACTGACTCAACCAGATGAGATGGACAGACTGTGAGGTAGCTGGAGATGAATTCGAAGGGCGGTATGGGATAAGGTGACAGCAGCCTCGGAAATTACCTGTGGAATTTGTATGTACTGACAGCGAGTAATTATTAATCCTCAACTACTCGTGTCCTCTCCTAGCCTTTTGGCTACTCTAGTTCTACGCTTGCCACTACCAATAATATAGTTCCACTCAGAAATCCCAGTTGATCCCAGATTTAACCCATCTAAAAGCAGAACTCAAGGCTGGCGCTGTGGTGTAATAGGTTAATCCTCCACCTGAGGCGCCAGCTTCCCATATGGGATCCGGTTCTGGTCCTGGCTACTCAGCTTCCAATCCAGCTCTCTGCTATGGCCTGGGAAAGCAGTGGAAGATGGCCCAAGTGCTTGGGTCCCTGCATTCATGTGGGAGAATGGGAAGAAACTCCTGATTCCTAGGTTCAGATCAGCCCAGCTCTGGCCATTACGGCCATTTGCATTTTGGGAGTGAACCAGCAGATGGTAGACTCTGTCTAACTCAGCCTTTCAAATAAATAAATAAATCTTTTTTTTTTTTTTTTAAAAAGCAGAATTCATCATTTACCTTCATCAAGAGAGCAAGGGTATTATCAACCCTTTAGCCTTCTAGTAAAGAAATCTTAGAATTATCTTTGACTTATTTTTCCTCCCCAACTCCTATACCCAATGCCACCCAACTCCATCCTTCCTTCCTTCCTTCTAAATGTCTCCAACTTCTCTCTCTCTCTCTCTCTCTCTCTCTCTCTCTCTCTCTCCATTTCCACCATTACAACTTATGGTTGTGTTTTAAACTGTTTCCTCCAAGAGTCTCTAACAAATACCTACCCACCACTGCCCCAGCCACAGCCTCTCCCTGTTGTAGTCATACTGCCAGAAAAATCTTCCAAAGTTGCTATTTAAAGTATATGACCCTGCCCCCACCCTTCGAGAATCTAAATTTCTGTGTTGTGTTTGCCTTTCTTGGATTCTACCATCTGATCCATTCACCTTATTTCCTTACATACAGAAAAATGTAACCAGTCCTGTATACCTCAGGATCTTTCCCAAAAACTCTATCTCATTCAACATTCATACCCAGTTCCCATCCCCTGAGAAGTCCCCGTTTCCTTTTTTTTTTTTTTTGTTATCTCAATGCTATTTAATCTTTTAATTTTTATTTTATTTTATTTATTTTATTTATTTATTTATTTATTTATTTGTTAAAGATCTATGTATTTATTTGAAAGGCAGAGTTACAGAGAGGCAGAGGCAGAGAGAAAGAAAGGTCTTCCACCTGCTGATTCACCCCAAATGGCTGCAATGGCTGGAGCTGGGCCGATCAGAATCCAGGAGCTTCTCCCCTGTCTTTGACAAGGACTTGGGCTGTCTTCTACTGCTTTCCAAGGCCATGACAGAGTCGGATCAGCTAGGATGCAAACTGGTGCCCATATTGGATGCCAGCACTGCAGACCAGGGCTTTAATCCACTGCACCACGGTGCTGGTTCTGCTATTTATTCTTAACATTCAACTAACTGATCTCTTTCTCAAAAGTTATCCCAATCAATACTGATCTCCCCTTTTCTCAACTCTTATTAACAGTTTCTATCACACAATGTATTTTTTAAAATTATTTTTGTGTTTAAACTTGCTAGCCAGGTAGATTAGACAAGACTGTAGGGTCTCTGAAAGCTTGTTTCACTTTGCCATGAACTCATGGAGCTGAGGGGCCCTATAGAAGTTACCTAGTGTTCACCAGAGCAAATGGAATTATATAACCTTCAATGGAACAGATACTCAGAAAATGTCAGTTAGTTATTTATTAAATCTTTCTAATCCAGTGTTAGGCCAATGCAAATTCAATAAATACTTGATCATTTGATAGAAATAATCAACTGATTGAGGCTTGCAAGTGATGACACCATGAATGTCTGCTTTAGGGACATTGCTCACCCTTGTTTTCCATATCTATGAATGCTGACTCTGCCATGAGAGCTCTAGGCACACGAAGCCAATACAGCGTACATTAATTATAAAACCTAAAAGAAGTTCTATTGTTAAGAAGAATTTATTATGGCTTAATGACCACTGATTATAGTTTGGTTAATCTCCATTCATGGACAGATTTACCTTGAATTGCTGGACAATTAACTTCACCATTGTTCAAAAGGCAGTAATTATTTCTAGCTGAAAACTGAGAGGTATGGAACTGAACCAGCTGTGCCCATCCAAAATTCCTAATGAATTCTGAAAACCCATATCATCCTTTTTCTTTTATCAGATCCACTCAATTTTGTTGTAGTTTTCCCTTTTGATTCAAAGAGAACAGTTCAATTAGTAGACACAAAGAGAGTACCCATTTAAAGGTGAATTTGAACTAGGGGAAGTGTATCTTCAAAGAAATGACTCATAATCTCCTTATAAATTATTGATACCTTAGCTAGTTTTGCAAAAACAAGAAAACTAAACATTCAGTCAATTAGTTATTTGTTATTACTTGAATATTTGTTATTACTAGATCAACTATACTGCTTTGTTTTAACAGGTCATATGATACATCAGAAAAAACTCCAGATAATGTGTTTTTAAAATTTTCCTTTTATCTTGGCATCACCAAATGATTGGGAGTATTCACCATTAAGTTATTTAATGACAATATCCTTTTGTCTTACAGATAGCTTTGAAGTCTTCTACTGCCTATTACAAGTATTCGGATACTTCCCCAGCAAGGGTGGGCAGAAAGCCAACACAAGCCACCAGGTGCCAATATTACACCTGACAAATTAGCCACACGACTGGAAAAGGGTGGGCCCATCCTCCTGTTGGAGTTTCATTTCCTCTCATTTTCCCATGAACAGGAAGTCATTGGAATGGGGAAAAAAGCTTTCCTTAAAGACCCATATGACCAAAGGTCTGAACTTGTTAACTCCTTGCTAACAAACAACTTGGAAGTCAATTCAAACTAATCACAAGACTTTATTTACATTGACTTGTGTAATCCTGCTGATGGCCTGGAGTCCAGGATGTTATGATTTATTTAACACTCAGGTTGTTGATGGGGCACAGTGGGGCATGCCCTTCAATGTCATATGGAATAATTATAGAGACAGAAGAGGCAGATCGATCACAGGCCTTGCATAAATCTTGGGAACCTGAAGATTAAAGGGGTCCTGGTTAGATCTGATAGAAGCCATAGTATAGGTCCACAGTCATATTTAATTCACACAATGCAACAAGATTAATGGAAGAATTTGGTAAGAACTCATTGAGAGTCCATAAAATACTAAGATGTATTCATGTAATATGTGATTCAATTGAATGCCCTGACCAACTTGCAACTCCCACCTAAAGATTAGTTACTCAGCTTGATGAGTGTTAAATCAAGTATAATAAAGGAATGTTTTCTAGCTGAGAAATAATCCAAAGAACGAAGATGTATATTTAGGCCTATCTTAACATCATCACTAGGGATAACCACATAATAATAATGACATATATGATTATTAAAATTATATTTTAGGGGGGCTGGCACTGTGGCACAGTAGGTTAAGCCTCTGCCTGTGGCACCAGCATCCCATATGGGTGCCGGTTCTAGTCCCGGCTGCTCCTCTTCCAATCCAGCTCTCTGCTATGGCCTGGGAAAGCAGTGGAAGATGGTCTAAGCCCTTAGGCCCCTGCACCCACATGGGAGACCTGGCTCCTGGCTTCAGAGCTGCACAGCTTTGGCCATTGTGGCCATTTGAGGAATGAACCAGCAAATGGAAAACCTTTCACTCTGCCTCTCCCTCTCACTGTCTGTAACTCTACCTTGCAAATAAGTAAATAAAATTTTTAAAAATTATATTTTAGGGGCAGGGTTTGGCCTAGCGGTTAAGATGCCTGTATCCCATATCGGAGTTTGAGATCGATACCTGGCTTCTTTCCTGACTCCAGCTTCCTGCTAATGCAGACCCTTGGAGACAGCAGTGATGGCTCAAGTGATTGGGTTCCTGTCATCTATGTAGGAGACCTAGATTGAGTCCCCAGTTCCTGCCTTCAGCAATTGGACATTCATGGAGTAAGCCAGCAGATAGCAGCTTTCTCTCTGGAGTGTGTGTCTCTCTCTCTTTCTCTCTCTCTCTCCCTCCCAAATATTTTTTAAAACTTTAATCTATATTTTATATACATATGCTTTTAAAAATCACAAGAATTAGGGCCGGCACTGTAGCATAGCTGGTAAAGCTGCTGTCTGCTGTGCCAGCATCCCATGTGGGCACCAGTTCGAGTCCCTGCTGCTCCACTTCTGATCCAGCTCTCTGCAATGGCCTGGGAAAGCAGTAGAAGATGGCCCAAGTCCTTGGGCCCCTGCACCCACATGGGAGACCTGGAAGAAGCTCTTGGCTCCTTGCTTTGGATCAGCTCAGCTCTGGCTGTTGCAGTTATTTGGGGAGTGAACCAGAGGATGGAAGACTCTCTCTCTCTCTCTCTCTTTGCCTCTACCTCTCTGTAACTCTGCCTTTCAAATAAATAAACCTTTTTTTTTAAAAATCACAAGAATGACAAAATATAATATACAATGACCCACAATTTGCTTTTTTCACCTAACAATGCATTACTGACATGTGCCTTTGACTGTCTTTATAATACATTCATTCATTTTAACTTTTATATCCAATCAACTCCCTTAATTCTTTGCCAATCTAATAGGTAGAAAATGGCAACTCATGTTCTTTTATTGTACATTTATTTTATAACTATTGATATTGAGCATATTTTTCAAATGTTTGCTAACCATTTGTATTTCTTCTGAATATTGCTGTTTTATATCTTTGCCTATTTGTAAAGTGAATTATATTATTCTCATTAACTTTTAAGCATTCTTTGACTATTGGAGAGTAGCCCTTCTTTTCTATAATGTATAAATCAAATATTGTGTCCCAAACTGTCACCTTTTTTGACTTTTTAAACATTTTTTAATGAGGTCAAATCTGCCAGGTTTTCTTTAACACCCTCTGGACCTTGCACATTATGTACAAAGACCTACTAACCCAAGATTCTTTTTTAAAAGATGCATTCATAATTCCTCCTAATATGTGTATAGATTGGATTTTTATGTTTGGAGTTGTATTCCATCTGGAACTTACTTTTGTGTAGAGTATGAGTGCAGATGGAAAGCCAGTTGTCCCAATACCATTTCCCGAATGGTCTACTGTTCAGTCACTGAGCTGAAATGCCTCTGTCTTATCTGTTAAATGCCCCTATATTTCTAGGTCTGCTTCTGAACTCTAATCTTTTTGGTTAATTGATTCCCCTATCACTACCCTTCTGTACCAAATCACTTAAGACATGCAGATTGTTTTCATAACTACTAGGGCAAGTCTCCAGTCATTTAAATTTTTGTTTTTCATGGCTATTGTCATGTGCTTCCCTTCCAAACAAACACTAGAGTCGGCTGCTGAAGTTCTATTAAAAATCCCAACAGAAATGGGATTGCCTTTCAATTTATGGAAAAACTGAATAAAATTTTACATCTTAAATGCCTCCAATTTAAAGCTCAATGTTTCATGAGATACAATAACAAACTTTACAACTCTATTTAAAATTAAGCTATTATAATAAATGGGATTTATTGTCACTATTCTTGTTATATCATAACCAGGCTCTTAAAAAGATTTATTCATTTATTTGTTTTGTTTTGTTTTTTTGACAGGCAGAGTGGACAGTGAGAGAGAGAGACAGAGAGAAAGGTCTTCCTTTGCCGTTGGTTCACTCCCCAATGGCCACTGTGGCCGGCGCACTGCGGCTGGCGCACCGCGCTGATCCGAAGCCAGGAGCCAGGAGCCAGGAGCTTCTCCTGGTCTCCCATGCAGGTGCAGGGGCCAAGCACTTGGGCCATCCTCCATTGCCTTCCCGGGTCACAGCAGAGAGCTGGACTGGAAGAGGAGCAACCGGGACAGAATCCGGCTCCCCAACCGCGACAAGAACCTGGTGTGCCAGCACTGCAGGCAGAGGATTAGCCTATTGAGCCATGGCATCGGCTTATTCATTTATTTGTAAGGCAGAGTGACAGAGAAGGAGGAGTCAGAGAGGAAGACAGAGAGCTGCTCCATCCATGGGTTCTTTCCCCCAAGTCCAGCCAGGGCTGGACCAGGGCAAAGTCAGGAGCCAGGAACTCCATCTGAGTCTCTCACATGGGTGGCAGGGACTCAAGCACTTGAGCTATCATCTTCTGCTTCCCAGGCACATTAGCAGGGAGCTGTATCAGAAACAGAGCAGTCAGAATGTGAACTGGCACTCCAATATGGGATGCAAGCGTCCCAACCAATGGCTTTCCCTGCTGAGCCACCTGGGCCATGCCATCATACCAAGACTGTTAGAGGATAAATGGAAATGCTTCCTTTTGGTTGGGTCAAACAGTGTCCTAGTCTATTCTAAGAAACTGCTGTGTGTGTTATAAGGATACAGAGACGTATATGGCATGGTCTCTATCTTTGGAAACTTATAATCTAGTTAAGATAAGACATATATATGAATATAAGTCATATGGGTGTATGCATATGGTTCAAGGCAGCTTATATTTAGAGTCAAATAAGTTACTATGCACAATAAGCATTCTAAGAGTTCAATGGCAGGAGACACGAGGTAGGGAACTTGGAGATTCTTTCTTTAAATCTACCAAAGGGAACATTAAGACCCAGGCAGGTTAAGTCATCAAGTTAAGCAGTAACAGAAAACATCAGGTCTGCAGACTCCCATCCCACCGACTGTTTACTGCATCAAGCTGCCTCTCCTTTCCACATGTGTCTGCTGGCCATTTTAGGATGATCTAGAAATCTATATCTGTGAAGCAGAGGGTCCTTTGGAAAACTCACATTCATTTATAACTGTCAATATCCACAAACTAGTTCCTAAAATCAGTTAAAAATGAAAAGGTTGCATTCAAACAACTCTATTACAGGGATTTCTTTTGATCTATATGACATCAAATACCAGATATTAATGATGTTTCTCTTTTCAACCAGTGGTTTTGACATTAGAACACATAGCCCATGTCTCAGTAATAAAAAGGGAGGGATTTTTTGCCCCTTTAGGCAATTTTTCCCCTTGTCATATTTGAAAACCCTCAGGTAACAAACCCTAAGACCCACAGGAATCTTTACACCTGTGGAGAAGAGATTTCTAAAACTCAACATCAAATCCACTTTTGATTTTCCCTTGAGTTTGTTTCTGTCAATGTTAGGCAGGTAACATATTTCAGCTTTTAAGCCATGAAGTGATCTTTTTTTAGAAAAAAAAAATTGCACTCACAGCTTTAATCTTATATTTCCATGCGTATTGAGTTAAATGTTGTAAAACTATCAATTCTGTCAAAACCTAGCAAAGAGAAAACAAGACACCATGCAATCTTAATGTCCAAACTGACTAGTGATTATCAGAAATTAAATGTGCAGGAATTCCAAATCTTTTTTGATTTGAGATGTCTAGATAACTTTTGTTTTTCCATAATTGTATGAGGTTTCTACATAGTATTTAAGAATCAATTATATTGCAATTGATGTAATTAACTCTAATAATCCATTAAAAGTCAGTAGGAGGGCTATTCAAGTCAATAGAAAAGAAGGAGTATATTATGAAGGTGTTATTAACCTATACAGGATTTTACCAGACATTTTCTTTTCTTACATAATAAATACACAGTGGTTAGGAAGGCTGTCATTATAATTTAATGTGAACAATAGTCCATCACTTCTCTTCCTATGCAACCCTTAACTAATTCTATGTACCATGCACAAGTAAAATGAAACCTTTTCTAATCAGGGTACAGTCATATCAATCATCTGTTAGCCCATGATTAAAGAAGAGGGCCTTTCCCAGCTAAGGGGAAGGGGATGGGGGACCAGCGAAAGTTTCAGGCCCACCTTTTCTCCCAGTTGACAAGTCCCAGTTTCTGATGGCTGTCTGTACCTCACAACTAATCAAAGAATAAGCAGTCGTCTAGGAACTGTTTAGAACCCTCTGGCAACCACTCAAGTGCTGGTGAAAGCATGAGGAGCATTCCCTTGAGCATTTGAATTAAATGAGATGCAAGCTGCTTGGCTCCAGAGCATTCCACATGTCCACTCTCACTTCTCAGGGGTCTTCTTTGACTCTAAGCTGTGATTCCCAGAGAAAACAAGCAATCTTAACAGAGCTGGCCTGACTGTGGCTAGGAATACCTCCAGCTTCGCGGATAGCAAGCCCTCCCAGGAGACCAACTGTGACTGACAGAGGTGTGGTCAGGAGACATGGATGAGAACAGGCTCTGCCACAACCTGGCTGTGTGACCCAAAGACCCTCCAGCCTCTGACTCCTCCTCTGTAAAATGGGTGGAAAGGCACCCACATCCCACGCCTGTGATTTAATAAGCCCCATTAAGTTAGGATTAAATTAGACAAACTCACAAAATACACCTTTTCAATCATAAAGCATGCCGCATCTTTGCACGTCTAGCATTGTTTAAAGACATGAAGAGTTTTCAAAGACAACTACAGGCTGAGGAACCCTGGGACAAGGGACTGGCAGCAAATGGATTCTGTTTGTTGACCAGCTATTTCAAGCTCTGGGAAGCCTGGGGGATACAAACAATTGCAAGATATGGTTCAAATGTTGAGCAACTTCAGCTCCACCTGGAGAACACAAACCTCAGCTATAAGAGGTTCTGTGTGTCAAAGCAGGAAATGCAACACATAACGAACACCTCTCTTTCTTTACTCTTGAACCCAGAAACCAGGAGCAGCTCCACACTCCCCAGAAGGAAATCCCGGTTCCCTCTTACTTCTGGATGAAGTACGTGTTAGTGCCCTCTGCGCC